CATGGACCAGTTTTTCTTTTCCTATCACAAAGCAAAATGTGAAGCAAACACATTCTCTCCCTTTCTAAAAGGAAGAGAACAGACCTAATAGAAGGTGTTGTCAGAACAATTTTCTTCATCTCATTCGTTCTTTGCTCCTACTTTCCGTTCCCAACACTGGATCACAGTGCTTTCTGAAGAGGCTGGCTGCAGGGCAGTAAGAGATGTGAGGTGCACAGCATAGCTCACATAATAGCTTCATGAGACTGAGCTATTTTCTGGAGGAGCTGGTCTTAAGAAGGGAAATGTTTCTGATGGGAGAGGAGATACCCACCTTCTTTCTTACATTACAGCTACTAAAGAACAAAAAGCCAGACAAAGCAGTCTTCCACTGTATGTACTGTATGTCCTGGTTCCCCTTCCCACCCTACCCCCCTCTCCCCCCGGGAAAAAATACTTTCAAATAATGTTAGTATTAGTTTTATTCTAAACGTTACTATGAATGAATTCATCATGGATGCATTTTCAGGGCCAGGGTATCTTTCAGTGAATAAAAATATCAGAAGGCTAGGTCTGTCTAGCTGAGTATCTTTTTTGCGGTGGCAAGCAGCAGATGGTTAGGGAAGAGTTTTAAGAATAGGGCAAGCATACATCAAAATATCCTTCTCCCCCAACGTAACTGAGAATTAGCAGCTTGGGGTATATCTATCTGCTGGCCCTTTTGATATGGCTCATCTTCCTTCTAGGGTGTTCGAAGTCTTCTCATATTTTGCAACTTCATTTGCAGCTGAGGGACTTCAAGAATGCTCAGAAGTGGATCATTGCTCAGGAGTGACTGGGGACAATGTTCAAGCAGTGTCTGTTCTCTGAGCAGGGACTGCAGGCTGCTCTGAGAGCTGGCACAAAACTCTCTGGAAGTAGTGAATAGGCTGCCCAAAACCCAGCCCAGGGCCTTGCCACTGAGATGCACAGAAAATGCCCACCTACAGACACAACTGCTGCTATATTTCCTCAGGTAACTGGTACAGCTCAGATGTCTGGCAGCACATGTTGCAGTTTTTAGGAAAAATGGGAGAGCCTCCGAGATTGCAGAGCTAACCCTTTGCATAGGGTCCAAGGACTCACACCTGGAGAAATCTGGCTAAGTTACAGAGGAATGGGGCTTGAGAGGAGAGGCCTAGGTGGTGAGGAGGAAACATTTAATATCTTGCAGTGGGTGATGCACCTTCTCACTAGGTAGGCAGATGCTGTTGTGTGAAGGTTCTGGCTGCGCTAAAAGCGTGGTTTGGGATTATAAATAACGTAGCCTTGCTTTGGTTGCTCCTTACTGTTACCTTATACTTGCATGAGAAGTGGGAGAGTTGACACAGCTGTGTGCAACTGCCTCTTCTTCTTGCCACCCCTTGCTACCCTGCCCTGGCTGAAGAGAGCAGATGTTTTAGAAAACAGACCTTCTCAGATGTAGTCTTTTCTACTCTTTAAAATCTGTTGTCGTTGAAAAGCAGAACTATATTTTTCTGAGTTAATCATGGGAATGGCTATGTTACATGTGGGATATTTTTTAAAAAGTTGCGGTGATGAGTGATGCTCCGGTTGATACTTCGTTCTTTACAGTCTGCACCCTTTCCTCCTTCAGGTTATTTTAAAAATGTTTTCATTATGTTGGACTTTGCTTTTATTTAACTGATTGTAAGTTGCTGCTCTGCATAGCACTGGGCTTTTAGCTTGCACTGGATGTGTAATTGCAGGCAACCTAAGGTTGTGGTTTGTTCTTCAGGTCAGAAAGCAGTTTGTTTCCCTAGTTTTAACTGTGTCACATCCTCTTGAGGGGAGTGTACAAGCAGATGTTTTATTCTTGCTGAGCTGATTCAGAGGGATGCACAGCTTCCCTCATTCAGAGGGCAAGAGGCTGTGTCTGTCTGTGGGACTAATCAGCAGCATGTTAAAATCTCAGGAGCTTCAATGAAAAGAGCATTGTGAACTGTATGGCTGAAGACAGGGAATGTCTGGGATTGATGGTCCTGAACTGAGATTATTCTCACTTTTGTGGAACTGTCTGGGCCTGTCGTGAGGCCAGCGGAGAGGCAAGCTCTGGGTTTATCTGGCCAATTCGCTAGCGTGCAGGTGCCTTGTAAGCTGCCACCAGAACAGCTGTCACTGCCACAGCCAACGTGTACACGGACATCCCCTTCCCGTCCTCAGAAGTGGGATACTACAAGCCTGGAGCCTGTTGACACCGCTGCTGTTCGTCTTCGGTGGCCAGAGGACTCTTCTCCAGACTGACAACTGGGTAACTTTTCTCCAGCCTTAATATTCACTGGGATGAAACCAAGCATGAGTGGTGGCATCCTCCAGCTAGAACGCTGAGGCTAGCGAAGAGAGGCACGCACATCGTGTGGCCTCCTGCCAACCTCTGCTGTCAAGGCTGACTTAAAATTTTAATTTATTTTAATGTAGTTACTGAGGCATTTTAATTCCATCAAAGGAGATAATACGAGGCGATCTACAAATATTCATTTGCTACTTTAAAATGAATTTGATTCAGCTGTGTTTGGTTTCTCCTTTTTGGATTTTACTTTGAGATTTGCTTCTTGCTTGCGAACATAAGTATTCAAGGACTGAGCCTTCAAAATCAAATCTAAATTCTGTTTTTCCTACATGAACGTTTAAACAGTATATCCTCCTTTCTGTAAGGCCCTGTTTTTAATCATTGATGCCTATTCTTTTGAGCAAATAACTGCATATACATATATATGATTTGTATGCATTTTAAAAGAGGGTGATCCTTTGGGATAAAGTAAAATATCACAATATTCTGTATATGAATATATATGGCTCCAGCAAAATTGGTGAATATTGAATTTGTTGTTAAACAAATTTTTTCTCCTCTTTTCTTTTTTCTTTTCTTTTTCTTTTCTTTTTAGAGGGACTGAAAAACCATTTGCAAATTGGGTCAAATTCAGTACATGATTTTGACCAAAAGTTTTGAACATTTTTTTTTTTACCAAAAAAAAAATCTTAAAATTTTTTGACTGAAAGCAACTTTTGTCATGCATAATTTATCCAAATTGAAAAACAAAACTTTAAATGGTATTGAATAACATGAAACAAAACAAAATATTTCACTTGTGGTAAATATTTTAGGTGAATGAAAAATGAAATTTGAGAGGTTTGTAATGTAGGAGTTACATTAGATGTTGTACATTAGTAGTAGAAGAATACTGATCAGTGTAGTTGCACTAGCATTGTTTTTAGGTTGCAATGAAAGCTTTTCATCCAAATATGTCAGAGTTCTGTTAGAGAGAATTTTTCAGAAAACCTGTCAGGCTGTTGTCTGAACGTACATACATACCGCATCGTATTTAGGAAAAAAATGTTTCCTCTTGCATTTGGATCACAAATGTGGCAGTGTTTGTTTTTTGGTGTTTTTTGTGACATAAATGTAGCAGTGATCTGTTTTTTCTTTACATGAGGCATCCTCAATCGAAACGTTTCAAAATGGAATTTGAATGCTATATAATTGAAGCTTGTAACTTTTACATCAATTGATATCAGCTAAGGATCTAGGTTTCTGTGTGCACAGAGAGGCTTACACTCTGACTGCCTTTCTTCCCCTCCTCCCAGCACATTTTGAGAAGAGTACTTGTATTTAAAAATGGGTGTGAACAGCGCTTGATCAAAATAGCCCAGAAGGAGAGTCCTGTTGCAACATAGATGACCTTTCTGAATCAACCATTGCATGAAGATATTTGCTGATCTGGTGCATATTGGATTTTGACTTAAGAATGAAAACAGCTGTTGAAATATCAGTATTTTTCATAGGATGGAAACACTATTTTTCAGTCATCTCTAGTTGCAAGTGACTGATTCAGAAAGTAGACTATTGAAGAGGTAGAAAGGAGTGCATAAAGGAGAGAATGACAACAAGAGGAGAATCTTTGGGAATGCAGAAGTGAGTGATGGAAAATGAGCAGGTTAGAGAGAGTCTCAAGACAAAAGTGCGGGTGAAGATGGATGGAGAAAGGATCCCAGTGAGTCTCCCAGGCCTAGTCTGTAGTATAAAACGGTAGTTTCCAGAGAACAACAGCAGCAAAGAAAACCACCTTTGACCTTCTCTGACAGGAGCCAGCCTCAATGACTAGTAAGCTAGAGCTCTGGGCTGTCCGTCAAACTGGCAGGGTGCCATAGGGAGAGGGCCAAAAGAGATGATATAATCAGGGATAGGAGGGAATACTGTTTGAACATCCATAACCAGGTTGAAGAAAAGAGAGCAAATATTTGGAGATAAAAGCTGCAGAAGGCTAGTGACATCAAACGAGTGTGGGAGCTCTCAGTCTTTTGTGGCACATCAACCTGCTCTTCGTTTTAAACCCTTAGCAGGATTCTTCCCAGCTTTTACAACAGTGTCACTTGTGTGCTTGGGCAGCACGCCTGTGTGATGCTGGAATGAAAGGGAAGGTTCCCCGTACTCTTCAACATGTGTTGATTTGCTTCAAAACAAAGAACCCACAGTTCACGCAAACACAGGTCCCCTTTTTGTTGTTAATAACTGATTCCTGACAGCAACGTTAAAAAAAATAGGATATAGTCACTCTTGTGTCCTCTGAGGCCTCTTGGCTGCGGGTGCAGCAGTGTATCAGTAGTGAATCTTTTGGTTGTGACAGAATCAACACGAGTTGCAGTAGGTGCTTGTCCAAAATCAGCTGCAGCCTTGAGACCTGAGCAAAGTGATTGGGATTTTGGCTATGTGAATACACGCGTATGTTGTTCATGCAGTATAGTGCAAAACTGCATTGCCAGACCGGGGTCACTTATGTATGATTTCTGACTGCAGAAAAGTTTCAGTGACATTCTTAGCCAAATCTGTGTTCAAGCAACAGTTGAAAGGGCTTTTGTCAAAACTCTCCCTTAGGAACCATACATATGTTGACTGGAAAGCTCTTGGACAACATGCAGCTGTGTTTTTTTGTATGGACCTGAAAACGATGGGTTTGAATGAAAGCCACCATCTCAGTTTTACTAATGAATAGCTGCCCTTTTGCTAAGAAGTAGCTAACAATTTATATGATATAGTTTGTTAAAAGAAATTACATCGTTGTGGAATAGCATAAGTTACTAAATGCATCTTCAGTACACTGTGTCTAAGAAAGCAGGAAACTTACATGGTTTTGGTCACTTACAATAAGATTATTGCCCTTTTTGTTCTACTATGGAAGTAGAACTACCCTTCAAGAAGTTAAAAGCATGGCAAATGTTAGGAATTACTTCTTTGGGCTGTTTCCTTAAAACAGCTGAGGAAGACTAGGTCATGAACTTTCTTATACACGCTGTTGCCTTTATTTTTCAGAAAAAGTTATAAAGCATGCATACGCTCTCTAGCAAAACCTTCTTTTCATTCTCTGTGGATAAGCCTGTAAACCTGTAGGAGGTCTCTAGTTATCCTTGTGCTAGCTAGCTAGGTGTGAATGGTGAGCAGCTGGAGATGACTGGAAAATGGTGCCGGAGATCCTGGATTTCTAAAACTTGTTTGTAAATCGTAGCCTTTGTTTTCACAGCCCTTTTTGCTTTACTTTATTCAGCATAAGAAAGATACTTGACAGGGAGTTTCTTTTAGAATTTCTGTTTTTTGAAGGAAACAAAGATTTTGCATTATGTTCTTGTTGAAGGGACTTGTGCAACAATTTGTACTCAGATGGCTCAGACCTGGGCAGTTCTGGCTGCACTCCTTTTCTTGTTAATCAGCGTGGTTCAAGGGTCAGGTAAGTGAGAAAGATTGCAAAGTACATGCACTACCACTTGATACTCTGTATTCCCAGCTCAGTAGTACACTGAAACTTTGCAGTTCACTGGGGAAATTTTGTTTACTGTTTAATGTGAACACAGAGAGTAATGTCACCTCAGCAGACAAAATCCTTCTGCCTCCAAGAGTTGCTCAGGATGAGATATCTGATAGGAATCTATCACAGATCACCCGAAGATCCATTTCCTCTTTAACTGAGAAAACATTATAAGAGCTATTATTTCTGGCAGAAGGAGGATCTATGTACGCCCCATACATAAACTACTACACCAAGTGATCTTGGGTTTTAAACTCCTTACTGGCTCCATCACTACTGCTGCTATTACTTATGCTTTAACCAAGGCAGCTAATTCAATAACATGCTATTTCTTTTATGTAATTTTCTTTTCCTCAGGGGTGAGTCTTGCTGCCCTCATCATTTTTTCAAAGCCCATATGAAAGTGAAAAAAAACTATTAACTCAAAAAAGATGGAGGACTTGAGCTCACCAGTGTGCATCACATACTTGCATGGTGTCCACAGCAGAAAGGCACCACCTCCACTGCACTCCCAGTCCTCAAAGAGAGTGACAGCAGGAAACTGGACCTGGAAACTGGATACTATGTATACGTGTCTGCACAGAGCTCTGTGTCCTCAAGGCTGGCAGCCTGAAGGAAAAGTTTTTAAATGGCCAAAATGTCAGGCTGCAGATTCATAATGACAATTGAAACAATAGTCCAAGTGCAGTACAATTACAAGCTTTGGACCTGTATTAGCATTAGTCTTCCAGGGAATGCAGGGCTCATGATGCCTGCCTGAAGAGTGCTGGAGTCTCAGCCAGCTTTTAAACCATATAGGTATAAATATACAAAGGAAGGTACAGAATCTGCTCAGGGTTTCAGTACAGTAATGAAGTAGAGATTTTTAAGGATTGACGTCAATAGCCTCCTATGCTTTGATGGCTGTAGCATCATTTTTATTTTCTCTTTTCTTCTTATGTAGCTTATAACATAGTGAAGGTGGAAGCTGGTCATGAGGCTGTGCTGAGATGCCCTTACTGCTTCAAGGAGCCTTTGCTAATGGTGACGTGGAAGATGAAATCCAGCGCTTACTGCTTGTTGGCCTATAGATATAACAACAACGAGACAGTAAAGTTAAACTGCAGTGAGAGGATGACATGGAAATACTCACCTGACGGTGACCCTGCTCTTCGTATTTACCCTGTGAACCTTGGCGATGAGGGAAATTACACCTGTGAAATTGTCAGCAGTGAGGGGAATTTTCTTTTTTTCTCTTCTCTGATTGTGATAGGTAAGACATACCTTGTGGCCTTTTTTTTTTTTTGTGTGTGTGTGTGAAGAGATAAAAATGATTTGATTTGGTGTTAAAAGACCAAATCCATTTTGGATGCGTTCTGAAATTGCCCATGAAGAGGTAGAAAACTCCTCAATGAAGAGACAGTACCTTAAACTGATGTAGTCTGGCTATTTAGGCAGAGGGATGAGGAGATATGCAATAGGTCTGGGCTGTTGTTATGGGGAAATATGCTTTTTTTTTTTCTTCACTTTTTAAAACTTTATTCCAAGTCATGAACCAGGGAGTTTTTAAGGTACACCAAATACAAAAGTCTAGAGTAGTTTCTGAGGTAGCATAACAGATGTTTTGAATGTTGCATGAATGTTCACACAACCAGGAGTATGCATTCTTACGGGTTAATACAAACAGAAGATAGCAAATAAATATTGCTGCTGTAAGCTGAGCAAGAAGATGCTCAACCAAAATTCACAATAAGGTCAACGTGTGTTTTGTCTGAGTAAGTGTTGAATAAGAAGGAAGGAAGCAAGAGTTTCAGGACGTTATCTGGAAACATTTCACTCTTCAAGACATACTGAAAGCTGTCTATAAGACTGCATAACTCAAATAAAAACAAAAATTGTCCATTTTCAAGCTAGGCAGGAACAAAAGAGTATTAGGAAACATAATTTACCTGATTCTGAGAAAGATGATTTGGTGTATTGATTATCTCTGGGTTTCCATAAGTTTCAAGAAGCATTTTACCTAGGCATGGATTTTGTGTTCCGATAATCTTAGTTAATTTTTAGCGATATTTAGAAGGCTCACAGGAAATTTCATTTAGTAACTTTACAATCGTTGTTGTTAATTTGTCACTTTTTTTTTTTTCCCCTTCTTCCCTTCAGGGTTGCCATCCTAATAATGGCTCAGGTATTGCCTGAGCCTTTACCTGTTTTGACAAATGCAAAATACAAATTGTTGGCCTCTAGTTTTGTCTGATTCCTTCTTTCTTTCTATATTGTCAAATTCTTGATTCTACCTACACTGTCTTTCCTAAATATTTTATCTGAGGCTTTAGGAAACTGTGTTTTCTTCAGTATGTGCACTGTTATATTTATAATTCATAATTTAATCCAGCCCTATTCCTTGTCCCATCCTCTGTTTCTGCTGTAGTCCTCTGTCACAAAACATGAGGAAACAAGACTTTTAAAGGCAGATAGCAATTTCTGAAGATATTGATCTTGGACTTTTCGAGGTATTCCCCCTCCCCCCCCTCCCCCCCAAGATGGTTAGTGCTAATATTTCAAATTATTTTAAAATATCTTGAATTGGAGATGTAAACTTAAACAAAAAAATCACCTGGTTTTGAGTTTCTTGGTTGAAGAGATTATACTGAGCTAGAAATAATAATCGTGGATTTCTTCTTCTTCTATAGTCCCTCCTACAGTGACTTTGACCTCCAACAAGAGTGGGGTGGCTGTTTGTCAAGCCTCTGCAGGAAAGCCAGCTGCAGAAATCTCCTGGCTGCCTGCAAGTAATCACAGCACTGAGGAAGAAGTTCATCACCCCAATGGAACAGTAACCAGAGTGAGCTGTGTAGGTTGGCTCAGCAGCATGCATCCCACCGTGACCTGCCTCGTCACCCATCCGGCTACAAACAAGACTCTGTCCCTAGATCTATTGTGTAAATATCATTTTTCTGTAATTGCTCTTCATCATGTTCTTGTGATTTTTTTGGTACTTCTCTATGCAGCTGTTCTTACTGCCTGCCAGGGCTTCATAGATTGTTTAGGGCGATGAAATACCAAAATCCTAGTGCACACTGATAAAGAAATTAATAATTTTGAGTCAGTCCATTGAAACCCAAAGTTTCTGGCCCTGTATAGGGAAGCTGCCAGTGCTTGCTTCCTTATGCCCTGGTTTTGTTTTATAAGAGTTCCTTATTCTTATTCTGTTTCAGCATCCTTTTCGGTCACTGATGACAGAAAAGTTACTTTCAGCAGCCACTCTGATGCAGTTCACTACTTTTAGGTGTGAACTTTGAACCACAGGAGTCCCCACAGAATTAAGGCCTGAAGAAAACTTCCTTGGCGAATGGTTGTCTGTAACTCTCTAGATATGTTTTCCAGGGTGGTAAAGGGTAAAATTCAACTTCTCAGCTGACTGTGCTAGACCTGATATAAGTTCTGCCAGTGGGACTTATGAAGCAGAGACATGAAGGACAGAAGCCAACATAGCCCGGTCATTCATGACAGCATTTTAAAGGGACAGGTGATCAGATCTGGCGATTCATTCGAACAAAGGGAGACGGTGCAGGCACGTGGGGTCAAGCACAAAAGCATGTTTGTGCACATGAATGGCTGCGCGTGTGAAGCAGCTTCCTATTGCTGACGGGGATCTGGACCTCTCACCTGTGTCTCACAGCTTGTTTGAGCTGTGGGGGTAGAGGATTAGTGTTCCTCTCTTGCTGAGGTAGGCAGTAACATCATATAGTCAGTGGATGTTGCCATCTAGTTCTCTAACTAGCTTTTTTTTCCCTCGTCTCTCAGACACTTCCCCCACGCTTCACTATCTCCTGATAGGAGGATCTGCAAGTGCTGCGGCTCTCATTGGTGTTGGTGTGATTTTATGCTTGATTTTCAGGTGGAAGGGTAAGTCGTTTGGAGCACAGTTGGTATCTCGGATGAGCCTGAAATGTTTTACAGTCCCGTTACTGACTATGTGCAGGTACAAGGACATGTGCTTTATTGCTGACAGAATTGGTTGGGAGGCAAGTCAGGGCTTAAAATGGAAACAGGAAGAACAGTAACCGGAAAGGGAGAGCTTTTAAGGAGAGAAGGAGATGAGGAACTGAAAGAAGGCAACTTAGAGGTGGGTGCACTGGAAAAGGAGGGAACTTGCAGAGAATCAGTGTGCAGCATTTGCTCTCCTTTGTTGCCTTAGTTCTATTCTAAAGTTAGTGCCTGTCAGGGTTTCCTCCTTTTGTTTATGCCTTTCAGATTACTCCCCCCACTAGGCATATTACATTTGCAAATAGTTCATGAATCAGGTGCTAAAGAATGGGGGCAAAAGCATTGGCAAGAAGGGACTACGAGGGGAGGTGTGCCCTAGATGAGCAGAGAAGGCAGAGTGAGGAAAACGGAAAGGCAGGAGAGGAAAACAGAAGGACAGCTACTGTCAGTGGTGGCAGTACTGATCAGTGCTTGCAGCTCTTTGGTGGGAGCCTGTCACTGCCACAGGGTGAAATGCGGTCTGAGGCAGGCAAAGAGAGGAGAGAACGAAGCGTCTAACTAAGGTGGTTGCTTGGCTCACCGTGTCCCTCTCAGAGTGGAGGAAAAGTACACCTAGAAAAAGACGACTGTGTTGCTTCAATCATGTCTCCTAGGGTGACTGCATATTTTGCTGAAGGGGAAAATAAAACAATAGCACTGGCAAGCGTATGTTCCAAACCATGACATTAAAAGTGAGAACTAAACTAGTACTTGGAACTGTATTTAGAAGAAAATCTTTCAGCAGCAGAGGGCAGCTAGGGTGAGAACTATAGACAGAGCAGCTGTGCACCTTACCCTATCAAGCCATATTCAATTCGTAACATCTTACTTTCAGCTGGCACGTTATGTGAATTGTCACGTGGGCCAGGAGCACCATTTACAGTAAGTGGGCTTTTTTCTGTTTACTTCACTAATACGTATAACTCCATTGCAACGTGTGTCTGCTCTCACAAAACTCCCATTTATCTCTGGCCGTGATTGGATGGGTGAATGAGGAACAGCATATCTGGGGAGGGTATCTACTACTTGCATGGCCCTATCCTTGTGTGTATTCACAGAATCTCACTAGTTGCTTAAGCACTAGAAGAAGAATGGAATAGAGCTTTTCCTGCCTAAGAATACTATAAATTACATTTACAATGCCAGTGTTTAAGCTGAATTTTAGCTCTCCCAAAAGTTAATGCATTCAGAATTGTGTGTTACGGAGTAACCTTTAATCTTTTGTTTAAGAATGTGCACTGTCCTTCATGATAGGAATCTGCACGACTAAAGAGAAGATGATAGTGGGCAGGCATTTATAATAAGGGAAAAGGATGCACTTCCTTGTGCTATATTAGACACACAAACAGCTGTAAAACTTTTTTTTAAGTTGCAGTTGGAACACTGAGAAGTTAGAAAAAAGCGGTGCTAAACTTGCCACTGCAAGTTCTACTTCCTCTCTAATTCCAGTGTGCCCTGATACATATTTAACAGCATGATAATATGCTGCTCCTTCCTCAGGGCTTCTGCCTCACGTAACGCACACTGAAAGAGCAATTATTTCATGTTTTGTTTTCTGCTCACGGTTAAATTCATGGCCGTGTGCCTTGTTTATTGCAAGCTGGTTGAACAGTGCTCTGAAGCTAGAATGATTAATTTCCCGATATGCTGTTCTGTGGCACTCAGCACAATTTGACTGACAGGAGTGGGAGTTACAGAGATAAAAGTCAAAAACTTCTGGTAATTTTAGGTGTCTAAATTGGAACGTGTACGGCCTGTCTGTTTTTTCAGCATTGTTCATTAAGATTTATTTTGAAGAAAATACTGACATTTCAAAATTTGTTTTCAATCATATTAAGAAAAAGAGATTACAGAGACTGCCCTGTTTAAGCATTGTAAAGGCAGTTGCTGTATCTTTCTGCCATCTCAGGTTTCACCCTCTATGCCCTACCTCTTCGCTAATGGAGCTTAGAGAAATAAATTCACAATTCCTTTGCAAAAGTACTGTTGCCTACTAGATTTTTTCCAATCTTATTTCTCGTTTGGACTCTATATGTATGATATTTCAACAGAATTCTAAAAGTCAATATAATGGTGTATATTTTTCTTTATATTGCAGACCAAGAACTTCAGGTTAACACCAGAGCATGAGGAACCATATGCAGTCCAGCCTTCTGTTTTATCAGAGCCTGTCTATCAGAATTACAGTCCAAGGCTTATCTATATGAATTTTTAACAGTGGAGACACAAGCGGTCTAATATCAGCTCTGTTACTAATGATAGTCAGTTGCCTGAATTTGTATTTGAGCCAACAAATCTCAGACCCTAGCACACAGCAGGCCAGCAGGACACCCAGCTCCTCCAAAAGCCTTTATCTTTCCTGACCTGAAGACAACTGGGGACAGCAACATGTTTTAGTGACTTATTTTTCTTTTTCTTTAAATATCAGTACGGCTCTTGAAATGTTTGAAACTTTTAAAGACTGAGTTGGAGACACGCACATCTGAATTTTGTTGAAAAAATGGTCTTCCCTCAAATCAATAATTGACATACTTGTGCCAAAATAACAGACTGATGGTGAAAATGTAGCGCACACTTCCCTTTTAGTAACTGGGTTCCCTTCACTTTTGTGGTGGGAACCAGGAAGTGACACAGGGGACCCCAGAACGAAGAAGGCCAAGGAGCTCCATCCAACAGAAATGTAGAAATAAAAGAGATTTTCTATGTAGGTAGTTATATGCCACGGATGACAATCTGGTATTTGTCATCACTATTTACTTTTTTTTCTTTTATATATTTCTTTTTCAGTTATGCTCTCTGTTTGCATTCATAGTAGCAGAAGCAAAGCCACTTTGAATCTGTACTTGCTATGGAAGTGAGAAATAGCAACAGGCAGTTTTCTAAGATTTATTTTGAGGTCAGCATCTAAATGCACAAATATTTATCTAAAATTATTTCTGGGACTATTTGGGGCTATTTGGGTTTATATTTATTGACCAATTTCTTAGAAGTTGGGATCACAGCATGATTTTACAGAGAACAATGGTGCAGGGTTGTGAAAAATGCTGGTAGTGTGCTTATTTAAAAAAAAAAAAAAAAACAAAAACCCAACAACAACTCCTCAAACTATTTATTTCTTCTCACCCCTCCCCACCTCCGGAGCTGAAAAAGCCACAGACTAGATGTTAATTTCAGTTTTCATATGTCAAGCTGGTCGAGCCTTCCAAAACACTAATGCAGCACTAAGTATACTCGAATGTTTGCTTTGAATGGTCTTTGCCTACTTGGAGCTGGAGGAAATCATCTCTCCTCTTTCAGTCGTCTTAGCTATGCCGCTCTTTAATTGTGCTTCTCTTTATCACTTCCCAATACACATGGATCGGCACGCCTACTGACATGATCCAGGCATTATTTTTGGGCAAATGCCAGAGAGGCACGATGGGCCGCTCTGCCTTAATGAGAAGTGCCTAGAGAATGCCATACTGTGACTCCTGCTGGGTAACCCCGTGCAGCCTGTCTTGGGGTGTTAAATGTCAATGACTGGTTGCTATCTCAGAGCTGTGGATGGCTTCTTCATGTCATCTGTGAGGAAGGAGATGTGCCTTTTCAGGTATGCAGCCCCTGGGAGAAATAAGTGTCAGTTATCTCAGAATTAGTGAAAATAAGATTTCAGGGATGCTAGTTAGGAAAAGCATTTTGTAGCTCTAATGAAATTCACAGCAGTCCCTTAGTCTAGTCAAGTGTTTTCCCAGTTCTGCTGGCCCACTGTAGCCCACTTGTTGGTACAGTGTGGGCACAATCCGGCATCCTGTTTGCTCTCCCCTGTCAGTCTGGACCAGCCACAGTCAGGGTGCTATCAAGGAGTCTGTTGCGTTTGGAAGCCACTGAAATAGGGGAAAGATCTCTTGATCCTTAAGGAACTGGACTGTTGAGTCTAAAGAGGGTTCGTAGGCTGGCATTGCTCAGTTTGACACGTGAGTGGGGAACGTTCTTGTGGACAATGACAGCAATCCAGGTTTGTCCTATTCAAAAATTTGACCGTTGCAGTCAGATCTAAGGATGGTATGGCTTTCGAAATGAAGGGAGTTTGGTGGTGGAGCAGCCTGCTTTTGACAATCATGTTGTGTATACGCGTAGTGATTTTTAGGGTGTAAAGCGAGAGCTTTTCATGATTCCATTGCACAAAATGAAATGCTGAACACTAAGATCTTATTTTCACTCCAGTGGATCTTTAAAAGTACTTTTGTATCGAAAGCCAGGAGGTGAGAATGAGAATTAGGACCTCAGTTATCTCAGTTGGCTCTGGACCAATAAATATGTGGTAATGTCATGAGTTTACAGGCTATTTAGACCTGAGAGCTTCAGAAAAGGAGCTGAAAGAATTTCAGTATGACATATTTTCTTTTGTTTTATTTTTTTGAGGCAGAGTTCACAGCAGCAAGGAGATGAAGGTCATCAGCTCAGTAAGCTGTCTTTGCTGAAGGGGGATTTGGGATTGCCCCATTCCTGACATACTGTTGGAGACAGCAAGTTTCAGAAGGAGTTAGGATAGTGTGACAGCTATCATTCAAGTGGGATCATCATTCAAGGAGGATATTTGATACATCAGTCCACAGCATGCTCATAAACACTAGAGAATATGAATGAAGTTCAGATAATCTACCAGGTGCTCCAGACAACCCAATTACAATTTAGCTGTGTTGTATTTTTCAATATTAATGATTTTTTCTAAAATCGAGAGGAAGTACCTGCTGGAAGCAAGTTAAAACTTCAGTCTCTGAATGTGAAGCAGCATGATTTCTGGCTGGCAGTCTGCTTGGGCTCGCATGAAGCAAATTATATATACATACACATTTTGCCTCTTCTCAGCATGTTGAGCTTGGCAGTTGCAGAGGCTGTTGTCTGGCACCTGGGGAAAGCCAAGCAGGTGCTTTTATTTTTATTTTTTTAATCACAGTACTTGCATGTGGACTAAGGTTTACATGTGTGGATTTCACATTTCTGGGAGCTGGGTTGGTCCAAGTGCTACTCTTCCTGCAATGTCTCAGAAAATTAACTTACAGCGTTGTGGCTCAGTCAGGCTTTGATCATCACCTTTTTATTTCCAATGTGAAGCTTGAGTTATCAACCCACAGCTCAGGCAAAGCAGCATTCAGCCACATGTTGCAGGCATTAAAAGGCCTCAGCTACCTAATTGTATCTTCCTTCTGCAATAAGACTGATCCTCATGATGCTTTTCAAACCCTTGGTTTTGCCACCCTATGATTGATAAAACTTATTAGGCCGAGGAAAATAATATGACTAGTGGGAGTGATCGTAAGAAAAGCTGGGACATTAGCAGTGCTTCTAGGCAAACCATAATAACTGAACAATCTCACTTTATTTTTTGTTCATCTTTTGTATATAAAGATGGTGCAAGCAGTAGTTTCAGATACAGATCTTGCTGCTTTTTAGCTGTTTGCAATTCATTGGAGCTTTTGACCAAAGCAGTGTGTCTTACATCCAAGCTGCCTATAAGTGATAACTAGTCTAGTAGACCTGTCTGCTCTCCTAGTTGCGTCCTCTTTGAAAGGAGGAAGACGGAGCTAGTCAAGCAGTGAGCCCGTGAGGATGCTCAGAAAGGAAGCCCTAGGTGCTCTGGATAGGACATACAGATCTGGGAGTTGAGCAGTTTCGTGTATGTGGTGAGAGTAAAATGGGAGAGAACGTAGAAGGGAGTTGACAGAGGGGAACAATAAGACATTTAGGGACTAAGACAGAGCAAGTATGACTTTGGGCTGCTGTAGCTTAGTACTTAATAGTGTAATTAATTCCCTTCATACTGCCTGCCACTGGATACCTTAACCCCTGGTAATGATTTGTGAGGGATAGGCTTTATTACACGGGGAGCCCTTTGTACTGTTCTCTCAGGGTAGGAAACCACCTACAGGTTTTATTGTCGCTCTCCGTGCCAATGGTCACCTAAGAAGGGAGGTGTCACACTTCTTGATCTGATCAGCTGCATGCTGAAGGGCTAAAGCCATGACACACGTACCTTGTACCTCAGAGAGCTGAGGAAGAAGAGCAAAAAGCCTAGCCATGCTTCACTGCCTAAGCAGGGAGTGGTCCAGCTCCCTCATGGTCAAAAAGGATTGAACTGGGCTTGCAGCTGGGTCCTGGTATCCCTGCAGGAAACTCGAATTAGCTGCTTTGGCCAGTTTGCTTCCATCCAGCAACAGGCTCCGCATTCACAGCAGCCCTCAGCTGCGGGCCGGTGCCACAGGGCTGGTTTGGGAGCCCTCCTGTGCTGATAGAGAGCCGCCTGTGGGTGCCTGTGGCTGTTGCCTCCTGCCCAAATTCTCTCCTTCTGGGCTGACTGCTGAGAAAGCACCTGTTTCCCGCATGGATTTTGTTTCACAGTCAATTTGTTGAGTGCTCTGAGAAGGAGAAGAAAAATCGTTTAAATGCTTTTGTCATGCTGATCTTGTAACAGGGAAGGCATATTGGTGTTGAAGCCAAATTGTGTATTTTGCCTTTTGTAGAAATTTGTTCTGGAAAATAACCAACGTGAGGACATTTTTACGAGTATGTTTACTGTGCTCTTTTCCTTAACTGCAAGAACACTTTCAGTGATCTTAAACTGATTGTATCTGTACCCATAGGAAATTTAAGCAAGGTAATGTTTTAGACTGCAAAATTCCACACATTCTTCTGTGACGTTGTAAAAACCGCTAGGAAAATGCTGACTGTTCATTGAATAACTATTGTGAGAGAATTACTAAAAGGAGAGCGATCCATTTGCACAATCTAACAAAAAATTATGGGTGGGAATATGAGCATATCATGTTACAGTAGCAAAACTAGTCCTGGATGGAGCGTATCCTGTAGATGAGTGAGTGGCAGTAACACTTAAGAAATTATCTTTCTAGAGAAGCTATTGACAAAATTGAGCCGAAGGTACAATTTTTGTGTTTCATTTTACATGATGTATGCAAGTCTTGTTAACAAGAAGGGGAGGAGAGCCTAAGTCCTACATGTTCAGTCTGTCCCTTCTGCATAACTCTCTGTAGTTGTTTGCTCCTCAAGGACAGTCCTCATTTCTGTGTCCTGTTCAGTTACCAACCAGCTCAGGCACGCTGACTAGCTCTGAGCGTAATGGGTGTTGGATGACTCTCTTCTCTTCGGCCAGCTCTAAAACTATTGAACCTGGAGATTCCCTACTCCAGAGTTGTTGCAACAGCTCTGCCTTGCCACTGCTGTCTTAGATTGAATTTTTAATCAAATGCACTGCTGTTTGAGTGTCACTTGTGCTTTTTAGCACGAGATGACTGCAGATGAAAACTCCCCTGTTTATTGTATGGCCTCTCACGCAAAATGCTTACAGAGCATTCTTGGTAATAGTGCTGATGTTTGCCTTTTGATTCATCTGTGAGCCACTTATCTTCTGATAAAAGCAGATGTTGCAATGCTTGGGTACAGTTCTTTATGCTCATTCTGTTCACTGAGTGTGAAAAAACTATCAGATAAAAAAAATGTGTTTAGAACACCATAAATTGGAATATAACCTCAGTTTATTAGTAAGATTTGTTTAAAATCTCAGTATCTCATCAGGATTGAAATGAAGATGAGAAATCATATTTTCCAGCAGTCTCTGGAATGGGGTAAATGTCCTATAGGCACTGGCCAGTTCAGTGAAAAGCTCAGTTTCCTAAGTTGGAATTTCTTGCAATTGCATTTTTTTGGTTTAGCCTTCTTGGCATCATTTGTTATAGCTTTTCTCCTGGGATGAGAAAATAACGCTTTCCTTGGTCTTCATTTATTTACTATAACACCCATGGAATACTGTCTTACTAATTCTGATGTCTTTTGCTTATTCTCTCTCGTTTTATGACTTCGTTTGCTGGAGGCCAGTGAAGAGGTCATGGTTTAACCAAGTTGGATTTAACTACGTTTCCTATCACTTCTTTGCCCTGGGATAGTTTACATTTATGCCCTGAATGTTGTTTCTTTAAGCAGCTACCAGCTCTTCTTCTCTTTTTATTCCTTAGACTTGTTTCCCCAGTGCTCTCACACACTAGTTTTCTGAGTTTATTGATGTTATCTTCTTTAAGTATTTTATCATCCAGTTCTCTGCCCTTCCCTTTGGCATCAAATGCAATTGCATTCCCCATTCAGTTGTTTCAGTAGCTCCCAGATCCTTTTGATTAAATTTTTCTTTAAAAAAATTGTTGGGGAAAATGATAAGTTTCAAACTGCTACTTGCTCTG